TTGTTTACTTTTTAAAAAGAAAAATGGGTTAGTATCAGAATGGTGAAATAACCTCAAATATTTGTAATTTGTCAGTTATGGGAGTTTGGCTTCTGACGGCGGTATAGCCTGGTAGCAATATATTTTTATTTTTAAATAGGCATTACTTTGTAGTAATATAGGTGTTTGCTAAGTATTTTAAAATATTTCATGAGATGATAGCATGAATAATTTTATAGTTTTTCCTGCCTATTTTCAGAAAAAGTAAATATTTACCAGTACACTACTATCAGTAATAATATTTTTATTGTTTGTACCTGTGTTGAAATAATCCATTTCTTTTTATACATTTATTAAATATGTGGAACTGGCTAAGTAGACGTATCCAATACGTTAGGCAAACTCTAAATTTTAACACAAAATTACTAGTCAACTTGAAACCTGTCATAACCAAAAAGAAATCCTAAATTGAATGTTTATTTTCTAGAATTAGAATTCTTAATAATGATGGGCAAATTAAATGTATTTTTATTTATTGTAGATTTATTATGTTATGTATTTTGTGTATATTAATTTAATCCTAAAAAATAAAATTTTAAAATGAATTTGGTGTTTTATTTATGACCTACAAATCTGTAAATTATAAATGTGAAAGCAAATATATTAATCAAATTATTATCAATCATTCCGAACTGATAATTCTAATAAAATGTACACACATACATATTTAAAAAATACCTTCATTCGTTTCTTTTCTTTATTTACAAAATAATATAAAAGCTTATAACAACAATTACTATCGTCTTTATTATTTTATTTCTACTTTTGATATATCCAAATTAAAATTTGACAGATACATAATTTATATCTAAGATCAACAATATTAACTAGACTTCAACACAGTTGAAAGAATCATTACTTTAAACTAATTTTAATAAATATTATTGCAAAATTATTAGAGTTATAAATAAAATACAATTATACTTGTTCGTAAATATATGTCATGCTCCCTGAACATTAGGTATAATAACCTGTTAAATGATACATGTTGATATTAAAATATACTTTATCTAGCTCTTATAATGGTCAAACGAGTACCTCATCTTCTAAAGACCTCTGGAAGATTTTTTGCAACTACGTTGTGTTTGGTGCCATATCGTCTTTTGTTTTTATATGGGATTTTAGGGAAGTTAGGGAACACCTGTAATAATTGTATTTCATCGTGGTGCTGCCCCATCCCTTAATAGTATATAGGTGATAGCCATCTAAACTTAGTTAAAGATTATTTAGAGACTTACCATTTGTTACAGTTATCTAAAATGTATTGATAAAAAAAATGTGTTTTTCTTGTAATTCCTATGATCAAAAATATTTATTCTCACATATATTTTATCAAAAAGCAGTAAATGGAATTTTTTATACTTAATACTTACTGTTTAACTTTTTGCAGAAGTTCATATTTAAACATATATTTTATATAAATAAAAAGTTCGATGGTTTATTCGGTCGTTTTTATTGTTTTTAAAAAAATTTAAGTACAGGCACTACGTATGTTTCGGAAACACAATTCCATCTTCTGGTGCCAGTCAATATTTAATAAAATATGGGGACGATTCAAATATTTTAAAATAACAGAAATCCCGACTTTTTGGTTTACACGACTTCTATTGAAATTTAAAATGTAATGAATACAAATACAGATATACAAGGTGTCCCGTATCATTATGTTTAAATTTTAGGAGCATAAAGTACACTTATTTTCAAGTTAAAAAAAAAAACGCAAAAATATATTATTAATTGACTTTTTTTTTCAAATAAAATATGATTTTATTTACGTTAGGAATTAATTTTGATTATTTATTATTTGTCAATAATGTATAGAAGTGTAACTTGGTAAATTGGTATAATATAATATAATATAATGTTTATTTACATCAATAAATTTACAATAAAAAAAAAAAAACAGTTTCAAAATACAGTGTGTCAATAAACATGTGACGACCACATAAGCGAACTTGTATGCGGCATGGATATTTTTTTAAAGAATATTAACGCCTCCTTAGATATCTTACACTCCACAAGGAAAGCCCTGATTAGTTCTTTATTTTAATTGCATGCATTATTAAATAATAAAATACATTTATTTCTTATATACTAAAAAGGAAAAAAAAAATGTTACGGGTTGAACTAGAAGTTGTGGATACAAACAATAGCACATTAACAAAAAAAATATATATATACATATATACTTATTCCTAAAAAGAAATACAATTCTTTTTGTTTATGTTACAGGTTAAGCAGGAAGCTAGGGATATAAGTAATAGTTTTCAATCATTTGGTGTATATCGTTCCTTGACTGTGAATGAATCCAATTTCTAACTAATTTTTTGAACAAGTATTTCGAGTTCACGTTTTTTATTTCACCAGGTAATCTGTTATAGATTTTTGGGCCGATATACCAGAAACTGCGTTGAGTATTTGATTTTTTCACCTTAGGTAGGTACGTTTGATTTATTTTTAACTGAGTATTATACTTATGTTCAATTTGTTTTAGTTCAGCTTTATTTTGGAATTGTCTGAGTAATAGACATTCACAGAAATATGTATGTATTATTGCTTTTTTTTTACTTGAAAAGAAGTGTACTTTATGCTTCTTAAATTTAAACAATTAAACGGGTATAATAGTAATAAAATATAAACGAAAATAATTAATTATCTGAGTATATGTGTAAGTATTGGAATACCTACCTGAAAAGTACATGTATAATATATTCATCACAGCCAGATTACTAACACCTTTATTTACTTTAAATTTGCCATTTTGCCTCTTGCCATCAATTTTTGTAGTTCTAACACTTCTTTTGCGGTTTACTGTTCCATTTTGACAAATCCATGTTTCAGGAATGAAAACAAACTGATAAAGCTGCTCATTTCGCATATATATAATTTCTTAAAAATTGATTTCTCCTTACAGCAATGTCCGGAAGTTCCATAAGACCACGTTTTGGGTCTTCTTTTTTTTATTTTAATACAATCCGCAAACATTTGCTTCTTAATCAAATTTTCTCTTAAATATTCCAAAGTTATATTATGTTGTTCTGCAAATAAATATGTATTTCTATTAAATACTATAGATATAACAAATTTATTACACCTTTATTAGAAACATAAATTATGATTGAAGTAATAAATGTATATTGTACTTACTTATTCCACACATGTTATAAAAATAACATGTCGGTATCCAGTATTATTGAGATAATAATGTTTTTGTATGAACCTTTTTAGGTGGCGATATTAATAGTTCATTATTTCTGATAGCTTGCGAAATTCTATTGACAGTAAAAATATTTATGTTTAGAGCCGCTGCAACACGCTAAAAAAGACAAGAAAACAATTTCATATTTTTATAAATTTCTATAACTTGTAACTTATCTCTCTTACAGCAGTTAAAGGTAAAAGTGATCCATCATTATCACGCTCTCTTTTAAAATAGTGGATTAAAGAAACTATCAATTCCTTACAATCACTATTTAGTTTTTTAGGCATTTTGGATACAAAAAATAAACAATAAACAGCTTATTCACACTATGATTCTTTTGAAAAAAACCGTTTTTTATAAGTATAACTAGCAAAGAGAATCTTAATTACAAAAAACAAAATGAACAATTAAGAATCAACTCGTTAACATAAACATAACCTAACTGAATCGGTGAAATTTTTTAAAAAGCCGTTGCAACTCTGCAACAAGGTGTACGAATTGCCATTTCTTCTCTAAAAATACGAGTTTCATGGGCATACAGAAAGTCAAAATTATTTAATGTAAAGTATTATTTTCTGAGTACGAAACATAATATTTTTATAAATTTTATATTATCAAGAATTAGACGTTTATAAACTAAAAAATTTAAATAATTCTAAAATTCCTACGTTCATGAATGCTCGTGAATATTCGTGACTTTTTTGGATTATTAGCTTAGGAAAATTTTAATTAGTTGGTAGTACTATGCCGAAAGAATAACGTCATTGATGACGTGCAGTGGGATTTGTATTAAAAATACTATACACATTTTTTACTATATCAGCATTTAGTACTATTTCAAACAATCTAAATCTGAAAACTATATCAAATAACTGTGGTTGTAGTGTATAACCTTTAAACCTAACATCATTCAAAGTAGTTTTAGCTTATGCATCAAACACTATCCTCAGTTTTGTCGAAACATTCTCTGATCACACAATGATGAGTCAAGAAAACGGTCAAGGACAAAATGAAAAACAACAAGAATAGAAACGTATTTCGAAATGGTTATAGATATTGAATATATGAATGAGCATAAAGTAAGGCCGACATTTATTGGTCAAAGCATGAAGACATTAATTTACAAAATAGTTAATCTAAGAAACAATATTACTGTAATTTAAATTAAATATATCTTGAGAAAATAAACTTTCCTATACTAAAATATAAAAATTTAGTCTTTCTTCTATTCTTTTGAAAGAGTAAAACCAAATTTGGTAGATTTTCACACTTTTATTTTAAAAATAAAAATTTTTAAACAAACACTAACAAATTTGGTTTTACTCTTTCAAAATTAAATGGATTTTCATCAAGTAAATGCCGAAACAATAAATAATTTTCTTCTATTCCTCCACTATTGGTTTATCCCAATGGAATATCTTTTTCATTCCTTAAAAGAATCTTTACAATATCTTATGTTTCAAGATCCAGCTCGAAGGACCAATGTTTGAGTCAATCTCTTGTGTCTCCTTTTTAAATACCACTCTTTTTACTTGGTATAAGGCCAAACATGAAATACAGAATCAGATTGTATGAACGCCTATTTTTGAATAACTAACGGATTGTCATTAATAGTTTATTAAATTTCGTTGTCCTACTGTTCTCATCATAGGCGTATCATAAGATTGCAACAATTATCTTTCATAAAATAAAAAATATATTTTTGAATTGGTAAATTATTACTTTTAAAATAAAACAAAAAACAACCATGATATTTAATCGTTTAATAAAATTCACTTTGCTTTTGTTAAATCTTCCAGAGATGTTCCCACATTAAATGTTGACATTGACTTAGAATGTCTGCAAGAATCGTTAGCCTTATCCAAAAATATATCAGAATCAAAGCTGGTAGACCTTTTCGAACGGTATGAAGCAGCGGAACTTTTGTAAGATTGTACAAACCTAGGTGGTCTTTCCAGATAGTGACCAGATGTACCAATTTCGCTGTTAGTTCTTGGATCTTCAGTAACCCTATAACAAAGTATTTCCGAGTTATAAAATTCTTAATTTAACAAATTATAAATTAAAAGCCCGTACTTTTTAGTTTTTATATTACTTAATCTAAATCAAAAATTTTACAAATGGTTTTATTATTTAAATTAATCCACCAGAAATACATTTACAAGTTATCATGGTATCGAGACTAAACTATAGGTAAATTAAAAGCTAAAAACATTTTTTTCTCAAATTCAAATTCCACTCTGAATACTAAAGCTTTTTTTCTAAATAAAATAATCTATTATGGACTTGTTTTATTTCCTTACGGAATTAAGTTGTAATCTAGAATTTTAAAGGTACGTAATTTCATATACTTTTCATCCCACTATCCCATCCCACTTTCCCCCTTGCTACCCATATGTAAAAAGGAGAATTTTGTTTTAAATGGATGTTTTGGGTTCCTCATTATTTTTTTTATATTTCAAAAAACTTGAAAATTTAAGGAAGGAAAACGAAAATTTGTTTTTATATTAAAAGTATAAGCTTAAAATGAATTTCCATTGCGTAAAATTCCAAATTACGTTATATTTAGGGTGTATACGGACGGCTAAAATTATTAATAAATAAAACATATTTAATGCAACAAATCTCTTTGAAATTAAAAAAAAAAAAATACGTAAAATAAATCACTAATATTTTAAAAACTATTACATCAGTCTGAAAAGGCCCAAATATTTAACAATTTTTAACTAAAAAATCTAAGAACTGAAAAAGTTTGACATTTATTATGAAAATTGGTAGATAAGTTGATGTATCTAAAAAAGTAGAGTTGATAGAGCAAAACGGATTGCATATACAGATTTGGCGTCTCAAATATAGTTAAAATCAGCTCTAAAAACCCAGGCACCAAAAAAAAATACGTGTAGCACTCGAGGACTGCCGCGGTAAAGCTATTGCATAGCAATTTTAATCAACTTATGCAATTATAATTATTTATTTATGCAGTATTTTTTCTTTGATATCTATGCATTGAATAAGTATATACTTTTTAAAAACTAAACATTTTAAATTACCAAGACTGTGAAATAATAAAACAATAATATTTTTCCTTTTTTTTTAAAGAAAAAAAAAAAAAAAAAACAAAAAAAAAACAAAAAAAAAACTAAAAGTTTTGGGGCTCGAACCACCAACTTTGCTATCCACACTAGCCAAATTTTGACCACTATACGCTATGCACCACCGAGCACATCTTGATATAAGTTTGAAATCGTTTATACTAATATATAACATTTGATTGCAAATATTTACGAATTATTACTTTTTAATTAAACAAAAATAAATTGGAAACAAAAGGACCACGCACTTTTCTTATGCCCCCAATAGTACCGTCAAAATGTCTGAATTTTTGATATGTTAAATAACTTGATGTCCCCATTAAAAGTGTCCATGGGCCCAATCGTATCCTATGACTAGATTTTGAGATACAGGGTGTTGAAGTTAGAAATCCCTAGTTCTTTAAAATGGACACCATAAATCACCCTTAAATATTTTTGGAAGTTTTTTGCTCATTCTGTGTAGTCAAAATACATACTTAACTACTATAATTAAAATATTGTACCTTAATGATTCGGAAAATCTTTTTTGGTCAAAGTAGGTATTCCCACCGAACAAAAATAGCTAAAATACCGAAAAAAATATCACCGTCAAAGTCTCTCAATATTTGATATCGTATAGTACTCGATGTACTCGTTCAAAATTCTTATTGGTAAAATTAGATCCTATGACTAGTTTTCCAAATATAACTTAATATGTACCAAATATATGAATTTTAAACAATAAATATATACTGACATAAGTAGATATTTTCAAGAGAAATATCTTATGTTAAATATTTTGACATACTGTTTTAGATTAAGAATATACCGCTTGTACTATTTGCAAAGGGAAAAAAATTCGTACTTACAGGGTGATCGCGGTTGAATATGTAAGTTAAATTAACAAAATGTTGAAATTGTTGCCAAAAAATAGAAAATAATTGTTGTTAATCAAAAAAATAGTATAACTCCATATACAGAGTCATACTTTATTTCGGTACAAAAAGTTGATTATATGGTAGGTCTCAGTAGGATGTGCAGAAATGATTTATGATCGGATTACAGGTTTATTTGGCTCGAGTATTGTCATAAGTGCCTCTTTGTATTGTATATTTAAATAAGATTATGAGCTCCATTCACGCCACCAATAAGGTAAAGCCCCCAATACATTTTGTTTTAACTCGCATCCCTTGAAGGATGGTTACAGTTGAACTTGCAAGGTGGAAAAATCAACAATATATAAAATTATTGCCAAATATTAGAAAATAAATTGCTTGTGAGTTCTTTATTGAAAAAGACTATAAATATACATACATTAATATTTTAAATAGCCAATACCAAACTTTGTCAAACTGACATAGTTTTTGGAATAACTAGAAATTAAAAACATTTAATGGAGCCTCAGAATGAAGTAGTCAATGAGCAGAAAAATCTGGGAAATTATCCATTTCTTAACTACTGTTTCATTGCAAATTTTCTTCTAGGAAATCCATTGAGTAATAGTTATGCACACAATGAAGTATAAATGTCATATCTACTTATTGGTACTCATTCATATAAGAAATAGTATTTTCATGTTATTGGTTTCAAATATTTAACATAAGTCGAGCAGACATATTATTGTAATTTAATTTTCACGAAACATTTGTTGATATTTTTATAGTTTACAGCTTACCTGTTCCTCTCTTGATTTTTCAAAGGCTTCTCAAAACAATATGATATGAATATAGGGTAATAAAATATTCGTAATTTTCGAATAACCTGCCTGTTTTTATATTTTCATTATGCAAAGGCATGCAAGTCGTTTTGTTAAGTATTTAAACTTGGAAATATAGATAATCTTTAACATCCTGTAACTCCGTAATTTTTCACTTCAGACGTTGGGTCTGATACCGTGTTAAGAATCACCCTGTATACTCGTAATGATAAAATATAAAGCTAAAGACTGTCTGCATGCCTAAAGTTTTGCTTTTTTATATCTACTATGATAGGTTAAGTTGTAAATCAGCACAAGCTGAACTTCACCTTTTCATCTACCTTATATATGTATATATTTACACTTATACTAAAACTTGATGAATAAAGACGCTTTATTATTATTATTATTATTATTATTATTATTATTATTATTATTATTATTATTATTATTATTATTATTATTATTATTATAATACATAATTTTTCCGAAGATTTTCACAAAAATTGATTACCCTGTATATTTTGTAACCTATGAGTTTTAGACGATTGATAGATTTCATTAGTAAATTCTAAATAGTTGTGAATATGCCAACAACCTTATAGGATATATAAACATGCTTAAACTTGATTTATATATATTGATATAGAAGGCTATGATTAAATATTTTCCGAATAATTGAACATATTGTTGACTTTTATAATAAATGACGTTTGTATTACTTTAAGCGAGCATTAGACCGTTCTATATTAGTGTTTTAAATAAATATTGTTGCAAATATGGCGTTTGCAAATATAATTAGCTGTTATGTTTGCAATAGACACTTTCAACTTCGACTCACTATTCGTTTAGACGAGGACAATAATATAGATGTGCTTAACATTGCTAATTTTAGAAGGCAAGCTGCCGGACATCCTGCAGTCGATAATCTACAAGAATTAAGATTATGTTTAAACTGTTATCACGCAATTACACAGGAACTTAGAAATATTGAAAATGACCTAAATTGCCTAAGACTTAATGTTTTAACACCCCACTCAGTTCGTGGTTGTATAATTTGTAACGCACAAGTAAATGTAAGAAAACTATCGGCAGTATGCAGAGCAAATATTTTTTTAGTCTCAAATATTTATGTACCCGAATATATGAAGATTTGTGACATTCATCTAAATCATTCGGGTTTACTAATGATTAATTTACATGCTGGTTTGCGTTTTGTTTATAGACCATTCCTCCACGTTAATATTCAGCAATTTTTGTCTAGTTTAAGAGCGACTGCTAATGCTAATAATAATTTAAAAAATTGGGAAGACATAAATACTTTTAGTTTAGGAGAATTTAAATATTTAACTTCAATTTCTAAAGAGAATTTTCAAGAATTATATGAATTTTGTGAACCAATAGAACAATATGGTAACTTAAGAAGCATTGCTCAAAAAGATTTACTTGCTTTCCTTGTTAAACTAAGACATGAATTGTCAATGAGTTCATAAAATTACTTTTTAATTATTCATCCCGACAAGTCACTAGTATAGTCATATCTAATGTCCGTATGTCTCTGCTTCAAAGATTTGTACCTAGTAATATTAGATTTAGATCAATACCCTGAGAAAACTATATATAATAAATCATGTCCCTGAATTCGTAAACGCGCTTTACAACCCTATAGCAAATATTCCAAAGACCATATTTTATGTCGATTGTACATATAACTTAATTGAAAAAAGTAGAAATTTTAGAATATTACGTCAGTCCTATTGCTATTTTAAGAAGGAACATTTAGTTAAGCCAGAAATTACAGTAGCTCCTGACGGATATATTTTATCAATCAATGGTCCCTATTTTTCTGATGCATCTATCTTACGGCAACAATTGGTTAATGATAATACTGAATTTAGAAACTGGTTACAGAAGGAGATATAGTAATAGTAGATAGAGGCTACAGAGATGTTATTCCTAGATTAGAAGAACTTGGGTTAATTACTTATATGCCATCTTTGCTTCAGTAAAACCAACGGCAATTATCAACAAGTGAAGCTAATAGAGCGAGACTAATAACTAAAACTCGTTGGGTTGTAGAAGCCAGAAATAGACATTTTAAATCCATTATAAAAATTTTTAAAGGCCGCATATCCACGCATCATGCAGTTAATTTGAGTGGTTTTTATCAGATTGCAGGTGCGTTGTTAAATAAGTTTCATCCTCTTATAAACCTACCAGGTATAGTGGACATAGCAGTTGAA